AGTGTACTGCATGTCACAAAGTAGACTGTGCAAAAAAAAGTACACCCATTGTTTTCCTCATTCCCTGGCAAGATCATGGGGTAAAATTTTTAGAGGAATATGGAGGAAAATCTGTCAACAGAAATGTTGGGTGATCATCTGGAATGTTGACCAGTAGACAGAACTCATTATTACGTAAATGTGTACTAGAAATGACCTTGAAATCTTCAGAGCGAAAACTAAGTATTTTAAACATCTTTATATGTGGTAGTCGATAAATACCATTTTAGAATTCTATTTGGGTTTCACAGACTAAGCATTAGGTAACTCTGTGACCAGCCTTTTAAGATTATTACAGTTAACCTTCTTGAAAGCTAAAAGTGTATATTTTGACATTGCCTCCCCTCCTCCTAAAACTGGATAAAACCCAGTAAAGTGCAACTTGACAGTGATCTCTCTCAGATTCTAGAGGCTGCCAAAATCATCTGAGATCTAAAATCATCTAAGATGCTAGATACTAACAAGAAAACTATAACAACTGAATAAAAGGTAATCCAAAAAAATAAAAAAGCTAAGGGCAACTTAAATAGTATCGTTTGAGGGTCTACTATCTACTGCAGGACAATGTATACCCCACATCTCTTAGAACCCTGTAAAGCCAGTGTTTCATGTGTAAGTCTCAAAACCTACTGTGTCAAGTAAATTTCACTTCAGAAGAATGGACTAATAGAGGTGTAACTTGAATCCTCTTTGTTAGGAACAGTAAGATTCCCCCCAAATGAGATTCATATCAGCTGCAATACATCCCTTGCAAAAGAATGCAAGCCAAACCAATGCCTCTCAGATGCTCAAAAACAATGTAGTGTGCACATGAGAAACAAAGAGATAGCTGCTTTGAATTACTATGGAAATCCTAAAGCAGCTACAGTATCTGCAGAATCAAGGAACTGTTACAGTTCTGTTTTTTCCTTTCTCTCCGCCTCACCTAAAACAAGGCTCCACTCCTACTGCTGTGATGACGGGAAGAAAATCACATTAAAAAGGGCTCATATTCTATATTGGTTGACAAAGTTATTCTAATTTTATATACCAAAACATTTCCTGCAGCAAGTTACCCTGCCTTCTGCGAAAGGTAAACCTAAGATAAACGTGAAGAATCCCATAAGACTCCAGCTGTTGGAGGGTCTCACTTTGCCCATGTTAGGGGAATATAAATAGTTTTTATACCTTTTAAAGAAAAGTATCATCCAGCTGCAGAGAGCAGCAATAATGGAAAGTGTCCTGGAAATGGAAATGCTCAAGCTGAGCTTATTAAAGCATTATGAACAGTATTTTTAAAAAATCAAGTATCAAAGAGGATAGGATTTGAAGTGAAAAAACATTTCTGTGTGCAGTGTTCTATGTACAAACTGCACAGTTCTACAGGATGATGAGCTATATCAAATACTACATTGGAAAAAAAATATAGTGGAAAGTAAACTCAAAACGAGGGAAAATATGGCAGAACCCAAGAAGAAGAAAGTTTATTATCTTAGGTGTCCTGGAAATAATTCTGAAAAACATCTCCTTTTTCTTCATCTTCTACTCTGATTCACTTGGGACCAGGAGGGATCGTGGATGGATTCTGAACTGATGAAGCTGAAAATGCCTGCAAATTCATCCCCGGCTGGAACAGTCCCCCAGATTGGGTAGGAATTACTACAGACTGTTGTGGTGTTCCTGAAATTCCTACCCACTGTACTGGATACCCTGGCCCCCCCACAGCATTATATTGACAAACATGGGGTATTCCATATGATGATAATGGCCCAGGAAATGAAGGGCGTGAGAGTCCTTGTGGCAAGGAGGCTGGGACAGCTCCACGGATTTGGGACAGAGAAGAAATCCATGTTGATGTGTAGCCCATAGTAGATGGAGTATTCTAACAAAAAATAAAAACAAAATATCAGTTTATTTGGTAGATACTTTTACCCATCTGTATTCTTTTTGGCTTACTACTCTCCCATTATTATTCTGAATGTCTACCATTTTTGGAGTAACTTTCTGTGTGCTAAGCATAGTTATATACCTTATTTCATTTCATCTTTGTAACTGCCCTGCAAGGCAGGCATTTTTAGATGAGGAAACAGAAGCTCAAGATTGATAACACCCATCACCACTTAGCAAGTTAATAGTAAGGTGAGGATTTGAACACAGTTCCAGCTAACTCCAAGACCCCTGCTAAATTTCTGTTCACAGTTTAGTGTCTCCTTTCCTCATGCTAGCACTACTCTTCTATTTTTACTTCCTTCTGCCAGTCCCAGGCAGTCTCTCATTCAGGGCCACAGACAACAGTAGTCCATCTTACTACATAATTCTTTGGAGAAAGAGGAGCATGATTTAGAGTGGCATAGGGGAAAGCCTGGCATATAGTAGGTGCTCAATAAATGTCACCTCCCTACCTCCTCCTACTCACTATTTAAAGTCTGACATTTCTGTTATATTTTTGGAAATTTAAACTCGACAATTATGTTTTGGGCAGTACTAAGAAAACATATTCCTGCCTGACTCTTCTTATTATATCGTATTGTGATTATGTGTATGTATAGAGATTACTGAAATCTTATGCACATGGGAATAATAAGTCTAAATGGAAGTAAATAATTCTTACTTAAAGGAGAGCTTGGTATCAGTCCCAAATTCTTAGTTCTTCTAAATTGATGGTCAAGCTAAAACACTTTCAACTAGTTTCAAACTACAGTTAGGTTAAAGGTTTTTAGCTTGACTCAAGAATGAATGACAAGATCTCTTGAGGTAAAAAAAGAAAACATTTGAAGTACAGCAATCCCTTTTTCATATCAGTATTTTTGTTCTGTTAAAGTAAAACTAAATACTTCTGATTTTAAAATAGCACATATAGTATGATCACATTTTTGTAAAGCTATTTCTATGTATTCATATACAGACATAGAAAGATATCTGAAATGATGTTTATCTAAAGTTAGTGACAATTATTTCTGGGTGGTAGGATTTGAAGGTGGTATTTTAAAATTTTGTACTTTTCTGCATTGATTAAATTCTATAACAAACATTATTATTTTACAAACAGTAACAATGTGATTTTTGTTTTAAAAAATTTGGAGATGACATGTTATACTTAATCTTCTCTTGGATATTTAAAAGGCATCTCAGATTCAAATGACCAAAACCAAATGTATGATCTTTCTTCTACCAAAACACACTGCCTGCTCATGTTCCCCTTCTTGATGATTGGTATGCTGGAATGATAGCCAGTTATACCAGCCAGAAGCCTTGCCTTGACACCTCCCCTCTGCCAAACATCAGTTCCATCACTAAATCTCGTCCATTTTATCTCTTAAACATTTCTTGTAATCTGTTCACTTCTCTTCATCTCAGCTTCTCTCTTTTTTTAAAATTGAAGTAGTTATTTAAAAAGTTGTTCAGCTTCTCTTTATCGGGCCTACTGTGACTAACTCTTAATTGGTCTACCAACATCTACCCTTATCTTCAATAATCTTTCTTCTTGCTTCAAGCCAGAGTGATCTTTTCAAAAAGCAAATCTGGGGCTTCCCTGGTGGCGCAGTGGTTGAGAGTCCGCCTGCCGATGCAGGGGACACGGGTTCGTGCCCCGGTCCGGGAAGATCCCACATGCTGCGGAGTGGCTGGGCCCGTGAGCCATGGCCGCTGAGCCTGCACATCCAGAGCCTGTGCTCCGCAATGGGAGAGGCCACAACAGTGAGAGGCCCACGTACCACAAAAATTTTTTTTAAAAAAAAATTTCAACCTAGGTTGATCATTTCAACCCTAGGGCTTCAATGGTCATCCATCTGTCTTAAAATAAAGACAAAGTTCCTTGTCATCACCACTTTTAAGACCCTCCTTAGATTCACTGTGCACCAACTCCTCTCTGCTCTCTTCACTTCAGCCTACTTTCAGTCCTTTCATTCTCTGTTTCCCCATACAGGGGTTTTGCATATGCTGTTCTTTCTGCTTAGAATCATATTCCCTCCCCTTTTCACCTAGTTAACACTTACTCATCCTGCAGATCTCTGCTCAGTCATCACTTTCTCAGGGAAGCTTTTCTTGACTTCCCTTTACTAGGTCAAATTTCCCTTACTGTATGGTATCCTATATCTCTCCTTTGTAGTCCTTATTACACTTGCAATTTTATGTTTATTTATACAAGTCTGTTCATATCTAACTGTCCCACCAGCATATAAGTCCCATGAGAACAGGGAACATACTTGTTTTTGCTAATCAAACCCAGTGCCTAGCAGAGGGCTTGGCACATAATTGTGACAAAATTTTCTAAGGCACAGAACAGTAACATGCAAGAACATTAGATAGTGAGATGAGCTCTCCACACAAAGATATAATCAACTGAACCTAAAAAAACAAAAATAGTTACCATATATAGGATATTACTATGTGCTAAGCACTTTAAAGATGTTACCTCATTTAATCCTCACAGCAATCCTGCAAAGCAGGAAGGTATTATCCCTGTTTTAAAGACATGAAAACTGATGCACAAGTGACTTGTCTAAAGTCACACAACTAGTAAATGACTGAGCTGACGCTGGAACCCCAGTCCGTATAAAGACCATCACCACTTTTATTCGTACTCCATTTTCTACTCACTCTTCTTCCAAATATCCTCATTATACCACAATAAACCACCCTCCAATTCATCAACAAAGGCCTCCATTCATATAGTGCTCAGAGGATCTCTCACGGGCAGCACAAACACATTTATGCCTTAAAATTTGCCTCTAAAGGCTTCCAATTTTTACAATGGTGATACTATCTGTGTATAAATCGGTGCCAGGAATAATATAAACACACAGAGCCCTTAAGCAGATACACTGCTTACTAGTTTGGAAAATCTAGGCTTTTGAAAAATTTTATTCAGTGTTAACACTAAATGTATTTTCAGACTCTTTACCAAACTACATGCAATGACTATATATACACACACATATATGTACACAAACATCACACACACACTCAGATATATCTCTTTCAATTATATGGGTTCAGATTCTAAGCCCTGATTCACATTTTAATAGATTTATTCATTTTGAAAAAATGATACTTTAAAAATTCAAATACAGAAAAGTACAAAGTAAAATAAGGCCCAAATTCCACCATCCAGCATATTTTAATGGCTTTTCCTATTTCTATGCATATATACATGTATCTTATATAATTTTACATAAATACTATATATACTATTCTGTGAACCTGTCTTCTTCCCACTCCAGAATGCACTGTAGACATCTTTCTACATTTCAATTGCTTGTACACTTGACTAAGGACATATGCAATTAAGTAGACATCTCGTCCATAAACTTAAGATATCTTTTATAATATTCTAGTTTAAATATCTTTAAAATTATTTTTCATACTGAATATGTAAGATAACTTATTGGCTATGAGAATACTGATGTACAATTAACATAAGATAACTTTTCCTCAAAACCCAAATTCTTGCACCACAAGTTTGAATTAACCCTCACTCCAGATGCTTTCTTTTTTGATACTTTTTTTTCTTCAGGTATAATAGCCTAAAACAAGGGTTAGCAATCTACAGCCTGCCACCTCTTTTTGCAAATCAAGTTTTAATGGAACAAAGCCATGCCCACTTGTTTATGTATTGTCTATGGCTGTGTTGATTAGTTACAACCACATGGCTTGAAAATATTTACTAATTGGCCCCTTCCCAGAAATAGTTTGCTGGCCCCTGGCCTAAAACATAATTTGCTCAAAGACATAATGAATCTAGACAAGGATAAAAGTCTCTATGTTCTCAAATCACACCACTCTATCATAGTGACTATAACTATAGGCCTAAGTGAATCAATTTTTACGGTTTTAGTTCTCATAAATAAAGAGGGTCAGGTATAAACAACTTACTTCATATACTTTGTTCCAGTTGTCTGTTTCTAGTTTCTGTTGACTCTGTTTAAGTTGGTTTAAACTTGGCTTAATAAGAGAATTTCCTACTGTTTCCTTTGTCCAGTCATCCACCAGTTTGTGTAAGTCATCTGTGAACATCCCTTTTTTACTAGCTGGAGATTGCTGGCATGATACTGCACTACTTTCCACACACAGTGGATCTATAAGAAGAAAAAAAAAACAGAGAAACCAGGAAAAGGAATTAAAACTGATAAACAAATACTCTTTTTCGGCCAGTAATGCAGAACTACATATTGGGTATAGATAGGGTAACCAGACATTCTAGTTCTGGCTTAAAGCTATAGTCCTCGTGTAATTACTAGCAGTATCTCTTTCACTCTCAAAAGTTTCTTCTTGTTTGGATGGCAAATTATATGGTCACCTTAGGTATAAGTCAAATATAATAAATAGTATCTCAAAAATATTAGTATCAACTCTAATCTTATCATCAGGTTCCTCAGACAGATACTTAGAAGAGTTAAAAAACAATGACAGAATGTTAAAAATGGAAAGAACCTTAGAAGTCTAATCCAAACCACTTGTTTTATAATGGGGAAATGAGGCCCAGAAAAAGTAAATTGACATGCCTGAGTTCCTTTTTTTAAAAATACATTTATTTATTTGTTTTTATTTTTGGCTGTGTTGGGTCTTCGTTGCTGGGCGTGGGCTTTCTCTAGTTGCGGCGAGCGGGGGCTACTCTTCGTTGCGGTACACAGGCTTCTCATTGCAGTGGCTTCTCTTGTTGCGGAGCGCAGGCTTCAGTAGTTGTGGCATGCGGGCTCAGTAGTTGTGGCCCATGGGCTCTAGAGTGCAGGCTCAGTAGTTGTGGTGCACAGGCTTACTTGCTCTGCAGCATGTGGGATCTTCCCAGACCAGGGATTGAACCCGCGTCCCCTGCATTGGCAGGCGGATTCTTTTTTTTGTTTTTTTTTAACATCTTTATTGGAGATGTTAATGCTTTACAATGTTTAATGTTTAATGCTTTACAATGGTGTGTTAGTTGCTGCTGTATAACAAAGTGAATCAGCTATACTTATATACCCCCATATCCCCTCCCTCTTACGTCTCCCTCCCACCCTCCCCCTCCCACCCCTCTAGGTGGTCACAAAGCACCTAGCTGATCTCCCTGTGCTATGTGGCTGCTTCCCACTAGCTATTTTACATTTGGTAGTGTATATATGTCCATGCCACTCTCTCACTTCGTCCCAGCTTACCCTTCCCCCTCCCCGTGTCCTCAAGTCCATTCTCAACGTCTATGTCTTTATTCCTGCCCTGCCCCTAGGTTCTTCAGAACCATTTAAAAATTTTTTTTGGATTCCATATATATGTGTTAGCATACGGTATTTGTTTTTCTCTTTCTGACTTACTTCACTCTGTATGACAGACTCTAGGTCCATCCACCTCACTACAAATAACTCAATTTTGTTTCCTTTTATGGCTGAGTAATATTACATTGTGTATATGTGCCACATCTTCTTTATGCATTTATCTGTCGATGGACACTTAGGTTCCTTCCATGTCCTGGCAATTGTAGATAGGGCTGCAATCAACATTGGGGTACATGACTCTTCTTGAATTACAGTTTTATCAGGATATATGCCCAGTAGTGGCATTGCTGGGTCATATGGTGGTTCTATTTTTAGTTTTTTAAGGAACCTCCATACTGTTCTCCATAGTGGCTGTATCAATTTACATTCCCACCAACAGTGCAAGAGGGTTCCCTTTCCTCCACACCCTCTCCAGCATTTATTGTTTGTAGATTTTTTGATGATGGCCATTCTGACTGGTGTGAGGTGATACCTCATTGCAGTTTTGATTTGTATTTCTCTAATGATTAATGATGTTGAGCATCCTTTCATGTGTTTGTTGGCAATCTGTATATCTTGTTTGGAGAAATGTATATTTAGGTCTTCTGCCCATTTTTGGATTGGGTTGTTTGTTTTTTTGATATTGAGCTACATGAGCTGCTTACATATTTTGGAGATTAATCCTTTGTCAGTGGCTTCATTTGCAAATATTTTCTCCCATTATAAGGGTTGTCTTTTGTCTTATTTATGGTTTCATTTGCTGTGCAAAAGCTTTTAAGTTTCATTAGGTCCCATTTATTTATTTTTGTTTTTATTTCCATTTCTCTAGGAAGTGGGTAAAAAAGGATCTTGCTGTGATTTATGTCATAGAGTGTTCTGCCTATGTTTTCCTCTAAGAGTTTTATAGTGTCTGGCCTTACATTTAGGTCTTTAATCCATTTTGAGTTTATTTTTGTATATGGTGTTAGGGAGTGTTCTAATTTCATTCTTTTACATATAGCTGTCCATTCTTTTACATGTAGCTGTCCAGTTTTCCCAGCACCACTTATTGAAGAGGCTGTCTTTTCTCCATTGTATATTCTTGCCTCCTTTATCAAAGATAAGGTGACCATATATGCGTGGGTTTATCTCTAGCTTTCTATCGTGTTCCATTGGTCTATATTTCTGTTTTTGTGCCAGTACCGTACTGTCTTGATTACTGTAGCTTTGTATTATAGTCTGAAGTCAGGGAGCCTGATTCCTCCAGCTCCTTTTCTCTTTCTCAGTATTGCCTTGGCTATTTGGTGTCTTTTGTGTTTCCATACAAATTGTGATATTTTTTGTTCTAGTTCTGTGAAAAATGCCATTGGTAGTTTGATACGGATTGCACTAAATCTGTAGACTGGCAGGTGGATTCTTAACTACTGCGCCACCATGGAAGCCCCATGCCTGAGTTCTTGCAATTAGATACCAGCAGAGCCAGGCCCAGAATTCTAAAGCCTAGAGAGCCTATAGAGAAGCCTATAGAGAAAAACTCTTTCTTTTAATGTACCATACTGACTTTCAACAATCTTCAGAAAACTAGAATCTCATTTAAATTTTTGTTTACCAATATTTCTGTTTATTATTGATAAAAACAATGTCTATCTAGAATAGCAGAAATAAGAAGGCAGATGCTTTTGTTAGCCTCATGAGTTCTGGAGCACAGGATGTCCAAATAGATGAAAGAAATCACTTACAGATGTCTTCATCAGTGAAAAGTTTCCTAATCTGAACATCACACTGTCTTTAAATTATTTAGTACTATTACACAGGCTAACTAAATCATTCTCATAGAAAAAATTCATAAAGTTCCTCTGACTGATTTATTTACAAGTCAAAACTTACAGAGTGGGTCTAAAATGAATTTTAGTAAATCCAGTTGTGAAATGTAAGCACAGTAACACTTCCACAGATTTAATTAAATAAACATGTGAAAATATCTTGTACAATTGTTATGGTACTTTTTTTAATTGTGAAAAACTATAAAAAATGTAAAAGATAATGAAAGAAGCCTACATATAATCACTTTCAAAGTACTTTTCTTTATATTCTTTGAAACTCATAACAGGCCCGTGATATAGGTTCAGCAAGTATCATTCTATTTTGGGAATGGGAAGACTGGAATCCAGAAAGTAAATAGCTGATGTTATACGCTGGGGTTAGAACCGAAGTATCCTGACTATTTATTTGGTCAGTGTGCTTTCCATTGTACCATGGCAATCCATGCAACAAACTGGGAAAAGGATAAGAAAATTGCTTAATAAGGAGGAACATGATAATCTCAGTGATTGCTTATGCATAGTCTGTCATTCTCTATGACCCTTGTGCTACTGAAGGCTTAGAGTCAAGGAGATTAAAAGTTAAATGGACACAGGGAACTATACTCAATATCCTGTGACAAACCATAATAGAAAGAATATGAAAAAGAATACACACACACACATACACAGATATATATATAGCTGAGTCACTTTGCTGTACAGAAGAAATTAACACAACATTGTAAATCAACTATACTTCAATAAAATTTAAAAACAAACAAACAGAAAAAAAAAAAAAAACAAGGGAAGTCTGAGAAAAACTGCCAAGAGGAGCTTAGAGACATGACACATAAATATCAGGTGGTATCCTGGATGGGATCCTAGAACTGAAAAAGAATTTATGCAAAAACTAAGGAAATCAAAATAAAGTGTGGATTTTTTTTTTTTTTTCTTTTTTGTGATACGCGGACCTCTCACTGTTGTGGCCTCCCCCGTTGCGGAGCACAGGCTCCGGACGCGCAGGCTCAGCGGCCATGGCTCACGGGCCCAGTGGCTCCGCGGCATGTGGGATCTTCCCGGACCGGGACACGAACCCGTGTCCCCTATATCGGCAGGCGGACTCTCAACCACTGCGCCACCAGGGAAGCCCAAAGTGTGGAATTTTGTTAATAAAAATTAAATGGAAACATAGTAGTGAAAATTGCTTAAGAAGAGCTTAATGAATTAAGTGGAACATATTCTCATATACAAAAGTGTTTTTAAAAAAAATAATTTTTACTAATTTTTGGTAACCATGATGTACTAAAAGGACGTACCAAACTTGTTGGAATTCCTACTTTTTTTTTTGAATTCCTACTTTTTTAAGACTTAAAACCCAAGGACACACAAGTCAGCCTATAATAAAAGTATCATTTTTTCCTGTTATCCCTCTGCACATTCATGTGATTCTCTGCCAACTCCAGTGAGCAAACAAATAGCACAACAATGTTGGGGAAGACTTTGGAGCTGAAGCCTTTATAGATTGTGTTCTTAACCTGGAAAAATGTCAGCAGGTAGGAATAAAAAGCAGACGATAGCCAGAAACATATACATATTAGTGCCAGCATTTCTGCCCACCCAACTAATCTGAAGGAATATTTTTGTGCTCATTCCCCTTTAGTTTCTTTAAAAAATAGAGCTAAGTTTGAATGTCATTCATTTAAGAACATTTCTGTACTAACGGAAAACCCAATGTCAGGATTCTTCTTGTGTACAAATCTGGTGGAACAAGTGATCTTATGCACTCAATTGGCGGGCAATGATGGCTGCTGCACTAGTGATACAGTTGCCAACAAGTAGAGGAAGAAATAACAAACCGAAACAAGTATTTATTTTTCTTTTATTGACGTAACATTGATCTATAACATTATATAAGTTTCATGTGTACAACACTGTATGTCTACTTCTGTATACCCTACTGAATGTTATTCAGTGCCTAACTATTCCATTAGGCACATTTATTGATTGATTTCATGTGAAAGTTATTCATATCATATTAAAAGTTCACAAACCAGAAATTACCCAATGAATGCA